TTATATGGCAAAATGTAATTACATTAAAGATCTTGAGATGGGGAGATTATCCTCCATTATTCAGTGGGTCCTAAATGCAATCACAAGTATCCTTATAAGAGGGACACAGAGGGAGATTATGAGACAGAAGAGGAAAAGCCAATGTGGATGTATAGCCTGGAGTGATGCAACCACAAGCCAAACCATACCAGCAGCCACCAGGAGCTGGAAGAGGCAAAAACGGTTTCTCTTGTGGAGCCTCTGGAGGGAGTGTGGCCTTGCTGACCTTGATTTTGACCCAGTGAAACCACTTTGGACTTCTGGCCTTCACAACTATGAGAAAATAAATTTCTGTTGTTTTAAGCTACGAAGTATGTGGTAAATTGTTACATCAGCCCTAGGACGCTAATACAAATGCCCATGTCAGTTTCTCCTGCAGGTTCTGTGATGATGCTGAGTTAGAGGAAGAGGCTGAAGCTGACAAAAGAGGAGGTGACTTGCCCTGGAATACACAGCCAGTTAGTGCCTGAGGTGGAATCGCGCCCTGTTTTCTTCCCCAATTTTTAAGCTGCTGTGAGGCTTTTAGGACTCAGTCTTTGGCTCCAAGGAGATAACAGTCTAGCTGAGGCACTAAGACAAACATGGCAGCCTCATTCGATGCATTAATTCATTCACTCACTGGACGCTTTCCCTGAGCTGAGCACCCATGGCGTGTGTGCCAGGAAGCCGCTCCCAGGAGACAGAGAGATGTTCACATCAATTAGCAATAATAGGCAGACTCCAGAAGCAACAGGACCTGGAGCTTAAGACCACCAGCTTTGGAATCAGATGAGTTTGAATCCTGGATCTACTATTAATACTTGTTAGCTGTGTGATCGTGGACAAGTCACTTAACCTCTCTGATCTTCCATCTCCTCATTTGTAATATAGGAATAACAGGGTTAATTATTATAAAACCTCAGAGGGTTTTTCATGTAAAATATTAACTTAGGGCCTGAACTAAAGTTAAAGCTTATGAAGTAAGGAGAAAAGGGAAGGGAGCTACGGGCATGGAGCATAGCTTGGGCAAAGGCACAGAAAAGTGAGAGGGCATGTGACATCCTGGGAATTACATAAAGCTCTTTTTGGCATCTGGGAGTGAGGAAGAGGAAGGAGAGGAGGCTGGGGAGAAAGAAGTAGATGTGCTACCAGCTGAGACTTCAGTCACAGACTTCACTTCACCGATGCCTCAGGGAACATGGAGCTTCAGGGAAGAGCTCAGAGCCCTGAGGAACCCTGAGGAGCCCATGGGGCAGGGGCAGGGGCAGGGAGGAGGAGGAGACCGCAGGAGACCGAAAAGCATCAACTCGAGAGGAGGAGGAAACTAGAATTGAGGGTTTCCAGGAGGAGAAGAAAGCAAGTAAGAAAGGATTGAGATGTGCCCTCTCCATCAGGAGGTCATTGAGTCCCTGGAGAATGGGTTGAGGGGGACAGTGGGTGGGGAGGGCATGCCCTACGGGCAGAATGCCAGGATGGCTTTTGCTCTCCACCCCTCTGCACCTTCCCAGCTGCTTTCCCAGACTCTCAGCGCCTGAAATGAGGCAGAGAACAAATGAATGCGTGGGTGAAACGCCTAAGCCAGAGAAGTAATGAGGCCTCCCAGTGCCTCAATTTGCCATCTGCAAAGTGGGATGACCTCACACTATGGGTCCCTCCAAAGGAAAGTTGCCTGAGAGTCCCCCACCCCAAGTGCCTTCTGGACCCCCACGGCAGCCCAAGAGGGGAAAGATAGGGACGGGGGCCCAAAGGGGACAAGGGAGCTGCCTGTGGCCACCCAGGGCAACAGGAGCTCAGCTAGAGCTAAAACCAGCCTCCTGCCTGCCAGCTGGGTCCCAAGCTCTGGGGTTTTCACAAAGCACCATGTGCCCAGAGAAACTGAGTTTTGGGGCTCAGCACCTCCTGAAGACTTCCCCACCAAGAGACCTCTGATCTGGGCCAGGTGCCCAGGGCTCCCAGAAGCCCCTCACCTGTCGTCACTGTTGCACGGCTGATGGAAGCAGGGGAGCTGCAGCCCATGCACCACACGGGCCTCAAACAGAAACTTGGGGGCCCAGAAGCCCAGAGCTCCGGTCACAAAAGCCATGGCTGTCACTCCAAGGGTCGACCACACAAAACTCCGGCTGCAAGAAAAAGTGCCCTGGCTGAAGCTGGGAGGGGGCTGGGACTGCAGGGGCCTGTCTGCTCCTGTCTGTTCCCCTTCCCCCATCTCCTGGGCCCTCTGGTTACCTGGGCACTCAGGTGGGCTCCAGGCTCCAGACCCTCCCTGACATTCCTTAAGACCCCTGCACACCCCACCTCTACACTTTTGCTCATGCTGTGCCTTCCTCCCTCCTCTCGGCAGGACCCATTCTCCCCATCCTAAAAGGCCCACATCCAACATCACATTCTCCAGGAAGCTGCCCCTGCTGCCCCCGCCTTCCTCTGAGTGCCCTCCACTGGTCCCATGGCTCTGTAACAACGACAGTTGGTTCCTGTTCGTGCTCCACATTTCAGTAAATCATGAGGCCTGGGAGTACAGTTGACTCCTGTCTGCCTCCTCAACCATGCCTGGAACAGAGGATGGATGCACTCCCATGCGGCTCAGAGAGGTGAGTGATCAACTCCCAGCATCCTCCCTCCAACCCTGAGAAGCAGGCAAGGCTAGAGAGTTATGTCCATTGAATAAATGAGGGAAGTGAGGTTTCAAGTCTCAGGTCACTCAGGGATAAGACAGTGGCAGAGCCAAGGCTGGAGCTTATGCTGCCTCCTTCCCTCTCTCTCTCCCTCCCTCCCTCCCTCCCAGCCCATATTCTGTCACGTAGCCAGGAGAAGGGGGCCTCCAAGTGAGGAAGGAACATCTCAGTTGGTGAGTGGGAGCTCAGTGGAGAAAGAGGGCTGTGAACATTGGACAGTCATGGAGGGCTCCCTGGAGGCAGTGAGAGGGAGGTCAGTGATGCTGGGGCAAACAGTGGGGCTTTCGGTGACAAGTAGGGAGGAGCAGGGACACTCACTTTCTCCCCAGGTATCTGATGTCCTCACACCAGCTGCTTCTTAGGCCCCCCACAGCCAACTCCCCCTGCGCCTCAGCAGCTCCCCGGGGCGGGTCTGGCACCAGCACGATAAGCAGGACCAAAGCCACGGCTTCCAGGCAGGGCATGATCTGGGAAAAGGAGGGCCCAGGAAGCTCAAGGCCACTTGCTCCTGCGACCCAGGAGATCCTGGGGGTGACAGAACTCTGCAGTCCAGGCACTTGGGGCTCTCTGTGCCCTGGGGGGGGGTGGGGGAGGGAAGCTCATTTCCTGGGTGCTGGTTATACAGAGCCTGACACACCACAGTTTCTCACCAATGAGAGTACAGCCTCTCCGAGGAGTGAGGTCCCCTGAGGAATTGATTTAACATGTATCTGTCCAGTACAGATACTACCCTATCGGATCAGTGAGCCTAACACAGTTGAGAGCTGAGCCCTGACTACACTGGCCCTGACTACCGAGTACCCACTGCCCCTTTTCCCAGCCCATGCCTCCATCTGCCATGCCAGTCCTGCCCATCCCTCATCTCCTCACTCCTCAAGATTCCATACGGCAGCATTTACTCCCCCATTTTACAGCTAGGCGAGGCGAGTCTCCTCACAGGGAGGTGATTTGCTTCAGGTCACACAGCTAGCAAACTGAGCAGTCAGGATTTGAAGCCAGGGTCACAGCTTCCATAGTCCGTGTTCCAGATGAGGCCCCAAATACCTGAAGCTGCCGACCTCTGACCAGCCCCCATGGCGCTGGTTACCGTGCCAAGTGGCTAAGGCTACTCAAGGCTGGAAAGTCCCTACCAGCCCAGAGGGAAAGCAGAGGGAAGAAAAGGAAGCCAGACTCACTCGGAGGGCCCAACGCCAGTTCCCAGTCAGTTCCTTCACAGCCGACCCCAGCACGTAGCCCAGACCACTGCAGCAGAAGGGCAAGGGGAGTGGGCAGTGAAATCAGGGTGGTGGGCCCAAGGACCCAAGGCCAACCTGAGCCAGGAGGCCCCCACCCCAGCGAGCTGGCTCTGAGCAGTTCATAGCTCTCTCACTGGGAAAACTGAGCCACGTGAGGCCCAGATGTCCACTGCCCTTGGTCAAGTCACTGGTAACCTCTGGCTCCTGGCCCATCCCCAGCCCTACTGTCCACTGCCTGTCTTTATGAGGACCCCCCTCCCCTTGCCCAAGGCTCAGCCCTGCCTGAGTCAGGCGATTTCCGGAAACCTGGGTCAGAGCTCAGGGTCCTAACTACAAATCCCACTGTATCCTACCTTGCGTGGGGTACACTGCCCGGCCCTGATGCACTTCCCTGCCTCACTTCCCAGAGCCTGCCCCTCCCTGAGCAGGCCACACGGAAGGTCAGAAGGCAGCAGCATCTGCCCTGTGACTCCTGGAAAAATTAATGGCATCTACTCCCTACTAGCACATAGAGAGCCTCTTTATTCCCTTCAATCCTCACCACAGCCCATCAGTGCTATTGTCCCCATTTACAGATGAGGAAACTGAGGCTCGGAGAGGGAGAGTGACCCACTAAGGAGGGGGGAGGGTTGGGATCCAAATCCCAGCCTTCTTGGTCTGGTGTCTCCTCCCCCAGCCCAGCCACGGTTCTGACTCCTTTGGGCCTCAGTTTACCCCCTGGGGAAGTTGATCCAGGGTGATACCAACCTTCCAACAGGAATAAAGATATAGAAGATGGCCAGCACCCGGGTCCGCTGGTCCCTCACGAAGAGGTCGCCCAGGATGGTGGGCGCGATGGTGGAGTAGCTGGCGGTGCCAATGCCCACGACTCCCCGGGACAGAAAGAAGAGCCAGGAATACTTGGGCACGGAGGCACAAGAACAGGGTGAGTTCCAAAAAATCACCCGCAGGCAGGGGACTCAAGGATTCGTCAGAGGGGCCCAGGGCACTGGTGACACTTGTCCCCAGCAGAGGAAGAGGGGACCTGGCTATAGGCACTTCGCTATCCTCGCAGCCGGGGTTCCCCAAATCACACGGGCGCCCCCTACTGGCGTCTGCAGCGGCCATCTGATCCCCAAGCCCAGAGACGCCCTTTTCCTGGGCATCGCTTTTATTAAGCAAGTCAGTTTCCACCACCACCCCCCACCCCCCAACAGTAGCTGTTACCCCATCCAACCCCCATTCTCAGCACGGTCAGCGGAAATAAAGCCACAGGCAGCAGCAGGAGGTGCAAGAGAGGAAGGCTTGTGTTAAGAAAACCTAACGGGAGTCTCTCAGCCTGGCAACCCCCAGCCAGCCTGCAGCATGGATGGAACAGAAGAGCAGCCCCGCCCGGCTCTGAAGGCACTGGGTCAAAGGAAGAAGCCGGTGGGGGAAGGTCCCAGGGGCCTGTTCAGGGATAAGGGCACCTACCTGGGGGGGGATGAAGGAGCTAGAGAGGCCTGCTCCTGACCAGAGTAGGATCCCAAAGCTCAGCGTGGCTTTGCGGCTGTGTCGGTCGCCCAGGTAGCCAAACACGGGTGCAGACAGCAGCAGGCAGCCGATGAAGACTGGAGGAGACACGCAAGGGGAAACATGCATCGCCCCACCATGGTAGGTGAGCAGATAGGCCCACAGAAGGGCACCTTGGCAGTGGGTCAAGGCCAAGAGGAGGAAAAGATATGGGGAAGCCCCAATCCCCTCCTAGCACATAACCCATCGCCCAGAGTATGGGCTCAAATCCCAGCTCTGCTACTTGCTCACTGTGCTGCCTTGGGTTGCTAACTCCACCCCACCCCCAGGCTGTGTAAAGGTGAGCTAGAAGTAAACATGGAGTCTGGCATGGAGCTGCCCGTGTTCAGTGCACACCAGTACCCTATCTTTATGAGAACTCCTGCCCCCTTTGAGCCTGATGCTGGGACTGGTCTGATTTTGCTGAGGTTGGGGAGTGGCAGGAGGTATGGGAGCCTGCCCGGGCCTGCTCTGAGCAGATGAGCACCATTTAGAATGAGAATGGTGATTCCTGGAAGCTGGAAAAGCATTGATTTTCCTAAGCAGGTAAAAAACATTCCCGACACTGTCAGTTGTATTTATACCATTTTAAAAAATTAAACCCCTATAAATTGGCGACTTGATTAATGACTACGGTTGTTTTTCTGCTGAAGACAAAGAAACTGCCACGTTTTTGCATGACTACCACATGGATAAGTACCCTCACTGTTTCGCTTCCTTAACTGAATCTCCTTGACACTCTCCGAGGAAGATGTATCAGCTGCTCGGAACCTGCAGGTGGCGAAGAGACCATCTGGACACACCCCACAGGGCCCCACATCCAAGGGCTTAAGGCATTGGAGCGCCCCGCCCACCTCCTGGGTCGCAATTCATTGAGCACAGCTGATTGACATTTCCTGAGCTCAATGACTGTCCGGATTCATCCCAGCTCAGGTCCCAGCCGCTCCCACTCCTCTAGTATAGGGTTGGGCCACAGGCAATTGAGGAAATTAGGCCAGTTTTGACCTACAAAAATGACAATTTAATATGGTTCGACCTAACAGTCCACAGAGAATGGCCTTTGGTGTCAATAGCATTTATAATGTTAATAGCTACTGCCAAACTAGGCCTCCAAAAAGGCTGTATCGATTTACACTTGCATAGAAGCCTATGCCAGCACCCTTGTGACACTTGATAGGCTCAATCACCTTATTTTTGTTCATCTAATGGTTGATGAAAAACAAATGGCCTCTCACTGATGTCTTAATCTGCACTGTCCTATTCCCAGGGAAGCTGAACATCCTCTGCCTGTTTTTCTATTGGGCTCTTTGTTATTTGGAAATAACTTCTCCCAGTCCATTATATTTGTTGTAAGAATTTAAAATCTAAGCTCTGAGACTAAACTACCTGAGCTCACATCCTGACTCCATCAGCCTCCTAGCTGTATGACCTTGGGCAAATTCCTTAACTCTCCCTTTCTCCTTTCATCCACTATACAATGAGATACTAATAGTACTTTCCTCCTAAGATTAAATAAAATAAAGCCTAAATAAAATAAAATGAAAGGCAGTGACTCGCTTTATGGAAATGCCTCATAAATGTTACCTATTATTATTATTACTAATTGCATTTATAGTTTCAATCACCATCATACAGAACAGTTTAGCCTTGATGTAGTCAAGTTTATAACCTTCCTCTAGGGAAGTTGTTTTGTGTCTTGTTAATGCATACCTTTTTAACCCAAAGGTTATAAAAATATTTTCCCCAACCCTTCCAATACTTCCATGAGATTCAGGGCAGGAGTCCTTTACAGAACATAAATACCTTAAACCTGCAGAAGTCCTGGAATGGAGAGACCTGCCCTCCAAGGGAAGGCAGGCCAGCCAGCATTCCCTCCTTCCCTCCTTCCTTCCTTCCTTCCTTCCTTCCTTCCTTCCTTCCTTCCTTCCTTCCTTCCTTCCTGGCATCTCCAAATTCAAATTATTTCTGTGACAAGGTGGGAGGAATTAAGGAGCATGGGACTTCTTAAGAGAAGGACTCCACAGGCAACTTCCTGGATTTGAATCCCAGCTCTGTCACTCATCAGCTGTGTGACTTTCAGCAAGCCCCAGAGCCAGTCTATGCCTCAGTTTCAGCATCCTTAAAATGGGCATAATAATAATACCTGACTCATGAGATTGTTGTGAAGATTAAATGAGTTAATATTATAAAGCACTTAGAATCACGTGCCTGGCATGTGATAAGGACCACATCAGTGTTAATTTTAAATGTTATTATTAATCAGGGCTGGCTGAGTGGCTCAGTTGGTTAAGAGCACGAGCTCTGAGCAACAGGGTCGCCGGTTTGATTCCCACATGGGCCAGTGAGCTGCGCCCGAGCTGAGCTGCAGCTGAGCTACCAACAGGTGGCAGGATGGCTCAGCTGGTGAGAGCACGTGCTCCTAACAACAAGGTTGCCAGTTCGACTCCTGCA